CTTACCCGGACGATGCACGCGGTAAACATTCATCCCCAATCGGTTTTTACAGATAGAAAACTGTAGTATACATTCGACGTCCATTTTCCATGACACCGGAGCATTTTCTTTGTCTTCGTCGATGGGTTTCCACGATTTCGATCCACCGGCCACGATCACCACATCGATCGAAGGCGCGCAAAAACTGCGCCGTAGCTTTTGTATCGGCCATCGCGCATTACCGACGCGCATGTCGCGACGCGATTGGTCAGCCCGCGAAAATTGATATCGCTTCGTTGAACAACGGCAGGGATTTACTTTACCTACTGCAATATAAAGATCCCGACATTTTAATTTATCTAATTTATCTGTCTTCTAATCTATTTAATCTATCTAATTCTAATCTATTTTTAATTTATCTATCTTCTTCTTTATCTATATGTCGTTAAAACTACCAAATCCCGACATTTTCATTTATCTAATTTATCTGTCTTCTAATCTATGTAATCTATATAATTCTAATCTATTTTTAATTTATCTATCTTCTTCTTTATCTATATGTCGTTAAAACTACCAAATCCCGACATTTTCATTTATCTAATTTATCTGTCTTCTAATCTATGTAATCTATATAATCTATCCAATCTATCTAATCTATCTAATCTATCTAATTCGTTCTAATCTATCTTTAATTTATTTATATTCTTCTTCATCTACATTTCTTTAACATTAAACACTACCAGATCGGTCAAAACGACCCGTTTCCTGATTTTTTCCTTTACGGTTACCGAGAGTTAGGAAGAATTCAATGGTGCATAGCAAATTTACCTACCCTTTTTCAAACGTTGATCATCATTAACAAACATTTAATGATATGCAATATTCAAAATTTTTATAGCTACATATTCGGGCAACGCTCCTCTACTTTTCACGACAAATTTTTAACTGCCTATCGTTTTGAGTTTTCACGTAACGCTTCTTTCCTGGAGAAATTCGACCGTTTTTCCGAAAACTGGACGTGCAATTTGGTTTTCGGATTCCTGTTTAGAGTAAGAAACTCTACAAGGATCACCTAGTGGCTATTACAAAACAAAAATCGTATTCCACAGTGTTATCATTTCACGAAACCAGAATAAGAAGAAATTTCCCAAGAAATTTCCCAAGATTAAAAGGCTCGAAAGAAATTCCAGTTGATATTTCACTGACACTCGTATTCCAATAAATATAATAAACCTCGACGAACGCCGTTCATCCTCCGATTTCACCTATGCCATCATACTTAGACCAGAAAAAGCTCGACCTGTCCATTAAAAGTGAAATTCTTAATTAACGTCTTTCCCCCGGCGCACCTGTCAATCACCGTTACGTCTCGATACGCGTGCTTAGTCACCTCGTTATTCGGAAAGCGACAAACAAAGCGGCGTGCTCGCGCAGTGCCGCAGGATTCGAAGTGCCATGAACGTCCTTTTGCTGACGGTGAGTGCACAAGGATATACTCTAGTTTCTTCTTGATCCAACTGGATCTGTTGCAGACTCTTTTCTCCTTTGCCTCGGCGGAGACGTGTATCCGGTTCCTGAAGAACAGCGACGAGAAGGTAATCTTCCGCACGATACCAGGACAAATTCGGCGATGGAACAGAGTCGCGCAGGAGTTCGAGGAGATAGAAGCCGTGAAACTGAACGGAACAGCCGTGTGCAGCGTGAAAATGGCCAACGATCTGCGGGGAAGGACTATCGTCGTCGCCGCGGATACCGTACATTTCGAATCTGTCACGCAAGATTTTAGTCGCTCAGGAGCTATCGCGGTTAAGTCCAGAAAATGATAATTGTTTTTCAATACATTGTTTCTGAAATTATACGATACATTCAGAAGCTATAAAATGAAGGGCTTTCTGGTCTAGAACAAACGGAGAAACGAGTAAATTCTTTAATAACTAAAGAGAATATCATTTATTCCATTAAAATTTAGAAAAATCAGGAAATATTGAAAAACTGACTTACTTGCATTGGTTTCTGAGCGAATAATTGTGTTTCAATATGTTGTTTCTGAAATTATTATACGATGTATTCAGAAACTATAAAATGAAGGGCTTTCTGACCTAGAACAAACGAGATGGTCAGTTTTTCTCAGTGGAAACAGAAACAAGTGGAAGGATGACAAATGAACAAACGCAGAATTTTAAACCCGATCGTTTGACCGGTTCCCGGTACAATTAGTGTTGATGATCCTTACATTTCAGATGCACCCGTACATCATGAGAAACTCCGACGACACATCGGTGAGCGGGTTTATAGGCGACATATGGACGACCCTGGAGAAGGTCCTAGGATTCAAGTACGTCTCGATCTTTCCGAAACATTCGAATATTCCACGATCGTGACCACCAGAAAATCCGAAAGAAGGAACGCGCTAGATGAAATTCACAGATACGCAGTACGCTTGGAAGATGACTTGATATCAGGCGAAACAACGAAAGAACAATGGTGTCCTAGTTTACATTTGTATAGTTTCGATCGATTATGTGCAACCCTATGACGAATGGCAAATCGGTGATCGAAAGTATCAAAAATTGCAATACAAAACTGTCATCCTAGTTATCGAGTGATCTAGCAGTACACGTGCATACAACGTGTCTAATCGATACTTTCCATGGTCCAATATAAAAGACTTCTAAAAGCTAAAAACTCAAGGAGGCAAGGAAGCTGAAAGGAACACCGAATGTAACGAAGTAAGATGTTAACGACATAGAATGAAGGTGACGACACTATGAACTTTATTTTCTATCGTTACACCCGACTTCGTCGCACTCGTTCCTTCCAGTTTCACTGGCTCCCTGACTTTTTAGTTTTCGGGAGAACCGATGTCTTTCCTCCGAGTGCACGCGTGTCAGACGTCGTGTCGGCCCATTCACTCGAATTTCAGGGCTCGCGATCGAAACGACAAACGACCGCGCGAGCGCGTTGAAAGACCGTACGCGGAATTTGACCAATTTTCCGTGTACCACCCACACACGCCGCTCGGTCAAAATACTCGCATGATTCATTCGTCTAGACAGGTATAAGTATAGTACCGCTGGGGAAAAACGGGGGCGGCCGAGGGGGGGATGGTGGAACAGAAAATAGTGGCGGGCCGGTGCGTGCACCGTAATAAAGGCGTATTCTTCGTCGAAAATGCAGGACGATTTACCGAAAAGCGGGACCGTCGGCCAGCCAGACGCTGATGAATGGACAGGCTCACGCACTACTGGTAGCCACGGTGATTTATTCGGACACCTCCGGTTATTACGCTTACAGCACGCCGATTACCACCATCTCGTAAGCCCACCTCTAATTTATACCGCTGTATACGCCTAGCTTTCAGACTTTCTCGCTCGCTTTCTCGTCAAGGCATACCTTGACGGGAGGGATTCGCCGTTCGCGACATAATTCATCCAGCCATGCCTCCTACCACGAGAATACACTGTTCCGAATACCGTTCGTATTATCCACGCTGACAAGGGACACCGCGTAATCCCTTCGAACGCGATATGTAGGGTAGACCCGGGGCGAGTCGGATCACGGGACGAATCGGATCGAAACGCGTACGGCGAATTGTATTTCTCGTTACTCGTCTCTGAAATTCGCGAGAGGACAGCTTCGCGATTCTCTTTTTTATTACCTTTCAACGCGGCGACTGTCGTGACGGAGCTTCTAAATTATTTGAGAACAATTATAATTTGTTAGGTAACTTATATCGAATAAGAATGTTTCATAGAGTAAATGACTGGGAAACAATGTAACGTGAGCGATACCAACTAACTGTTAATGATACATTAACCCTTTGCACTCAGAAGTTTCTCAGTAGAAATATTTGGACATTTTCTGATGAGATAAAGACGACATTGTTTGAAACTAATTTAACGATAATTCACAGATAAATTAAGCGATAAAGTTATTTTATCTAAATATTTCACATTGTAAAATATAATTTTAATTTGAAATACTGAATATTCAACTTCATAGTTTCGCTGTATCAAGACAACCGATGACTGAAAGTCACCTTTCGAGTGTAAAGGGTTAAATATTTTCGAGAGAACAGTTTATTACCGATTAACCCAGCGACTATCATGGCGGCCGTCGATGATCGAAGCTTCAAAATTATTTGAGTGCAATTATAATTTGTTAATAACTGTTCCTCTTCATCTTCTCTACGAAATAAGCGATACATTAAATATTCGCGAGGGAATAGTTTCGCGATTCTCTTTTTATTACCGTTTAACACAGCGACTATCATGGCGGCCGCCGATGACCGAAGCCTCCAAATTATTTGAGTGCAATCACAAGAAAAAAAAAACTCACGTTGATTAAGACTGTTTCATAACGTAAATAACTAGGTAACGGTGCAACACGAGCACTGCGGTACCAAATAAGTAACTGTTCCTCTTCATCCTCGCTACAAGAAACTAAGCGAAACATCAGGCTCCGAAGGTTTCCGTGCGAACGTGTTAAGTGAGCAGTTATTTTCGTGTTCTGTATCGTCAAAGAAAAAGCGAGCGATCCGAACCGCCTTGAGCTACACCTTTTATCGAATATTTATCGAACAGAGATCCTCGCGTTGCAGGTACGCGCTGTTCGTGCGATCCGACGGGACAAGGGTTCCGCAGCAATGGTACAGGGACGTGTTCAGCGGAGGACTGTGGTCGACGATCATGGTGTTCGCCGTGGCCACCGCCGCTATCATTATCGGCATACAGTACCTCAAGAGGATCACGGGGACCAATTATATGGAAAGCGACGACGAGTTCTCGTCAGCGTCCTTTAATTTGTTGGTAATTCTCGGCTGCCTCAGCGGACAAGGTATACAACAAAACAACGTGTATCGATCAAAACGTGCCACGACTTCCAAATTCCTCGCGCCGGAAATAACATGCTCGCCCCATGAAATTACATACAAAGTCTTAATTAACCGAGACTTTTACACGGCCCAGCCAGCAGCTGAAATTAGGGAAAGTATACGTGTGTTTACGTTTAATGTACGGTGTGTTAACGTCGTGGCATGTTTCGATGAAGGATGTCAGAAGATTCCGGCCGCCTGGTCGCTCCGGATGATCGTCGTATCGCAGTTAATCACCGGATCGCTGCTGGCCGGAGGATTCAGCAGCACGCTTACCTCTTATCTGGCGATACGAGGGAACTCGGTGCCATTGGCCAGCCTCGAAGACGCGTCGCGGCAACGGAGTCACTCGGTTTGCGTGAGGAACGACAGCAGCGCCTACATCCACTTCACCGTGGTAGTTAATTTTCTAATTGGACATCCATTTCGGAAGTTGATTCGGCTTCACGCGATGCTCGTTTCTCTTTTATCTTATTTTCTTCTCCTCTCTTCTCTTCTCTTCTTTTCTCTTCCTTCCTCTTCTCTTCTCTTCTCTTCTCTTCCTCGGTTCAGAACGGATCGCCGTGGGGCGAGATGAAGCAGGAATGGAGGGATCTGGTCAATAACGGATGCCCGGACATGAGAGACACCGGCACGCTGGACTCGAAGCTGTGCAACCACGGTTTCGCCTACCTGGAGGTCCCGGACGTGTTCCTACCGATTTACCGGCGAGTCCGAAACGCCTGTCGCATCGTTCAGACGCCTCGTCGTTACTGGAGAATGAAGATCTCGTTCCTGCATGCCAGGTTCGGGGAACAACGACGCGTAATAGACACCTAGTAAGAGTTCTATCGTGAAAGATAATCGCAGAAGGTTTGAGGATCTTAGAAGAGCGTTGGGTGTATTCGTTTCTTCGTTTCCCTTGTTGCTCATAGCCTGATGAGATTACGATCGGCGGGAATACTGAAGTATCTCGAAGGGAAGTGGATGTCAGAAGGGATACGGAGCTCGGGAGTGGACGAGTCGACAGTTCAACCGGTCGAATACGCTCATGTTCATCTGCTGCTGTTGGGACTCGTCTACGCGTCGGCGCTGAGCTGTCTCGTCTGCGTTCTCGAGAACGTTTGGCACAAACTTTGCGAACGGAACACGCAGGGAAGTCGTTTAATTCCTTCTTTATTTGATTTACATGTGCGCCGTTACCTCGGTAAATATCTCGAATAACATTATAGTATTTGGGTGACGCAACTCGGAAGAATCGTCGCGCTCTAACGACTACTAGCACGAAATTCGCTTAATAGAGCTCCCGCGTTCCAGCGTCGGTGAATTCTCCAGCGCTCCTCCCATTACGCTGGCTTCTGAAACGAACGTAGCGCGCGAACGAAAAACGATCGTTTGAAAAATTGTTTATTATCCGCCGGCGAACGAGTGTGAAGTAAAGAGAATCTTTCGAAGCAGCACGCTTATCCTTAAGAAGGGATTCTCTTTTCTCTTGGCAAAGAAAAATCGATTTTTTGTTGTTTACAGAATCTTGTGGTTTAACTTTGTAGGAATGCCTCTGCAAATTTTCAGTTGAAATTCATAAAATTGTCAACGTTATGGACTTTTCTAGCAAGATATATACTTGTCGGCAAGTGATCGAACATCGTGACTCCCAGAATCCATGGCACTGTTGTAAAACGTTTATGTTATTGGAGTCGTAGTTTTCTGACAGCCAAGTTGAAATTTATTTGCAGTGACATTAGCATAATTCGATTTTATATTCGAGAAAAAAGAATGTGTAGGTCATGTAGACGAACGTATGGGATCGCGACTAAGAAATATAAAAATGACCAAGAAACTCGGAGGAAAAACAATTCACTGATAAATTAATTAAACAATTAACATTGTACTATGGTTTAGCTATTAGAAGACATTCAGATTCTATTGTATGTTATCATAAAATATCTTCAGATAAATGTCCGAAACAGATGTACCGTCCAAGGGGGTCGGATAGTTGGTGTAAGTGGCGTAAAGCTGAAGCTGAGGGTACTCTTAAAGAATTTAACCACGAGTCACCACTTTGTGAAGACTTGCAAAAGAAGTAAAATCACTTTATGAAGATTTATCTTCAAAAGAATTATTAGAAATGTGTTTGGGTAATGAAACTCAAAATAATGAAAGTTTCAATTCGACACTCTGGCGACTTGCTGCCAAACACCTTCACTGTGGACTAAAAACAATTGAGATTTCATCATTTATAGCAGCAGGCATTTTTAATGAAGGCTGCTATGCAATTTTAAAAATCATGGACGATATTGGTATTGTTATTAGAGATCAATGTGAAAGTTCTGCCACGAGTAGTGGCAAATGTCGATTACAAAGATCGGTGGGACGAAGCGTTGGAACAACAAAAATGGCCTGTACAGAGGCTAGAATAGCAAATTTAGAAAAAAATCAATTCGATGAGCAAGAGGAAGGAATAATATACGGACCTGGAATAGCTGATTAGTTGTAAATACTTGATATTTGTTCGGTAACTGTACTACAAACTTTAAACGAGTTTTTCTCGGAACCACTTTTTCGTAGCTGGTTGACACGATTTAAAAAGAAGTATTGGATCAATCAACCTGAAATTTTAACTGTACGTTAAGAAATGATCCTTTTATCGTTTGATCTACAGGCAAGACGATAGGTTGTACATATTTTTTTTAATTACCAAAAGTTCGGGTAATTTTCTGCGAAAAATCGAACATCTAAGTTTAAACAGTTACCATTTCTCGAAAAATAATTTTTCTTTTAATTCATTGTAGATCAAACGATAATTACATGTTTATAAAATAAAATCTCATTGGAATTTTTGATTTCATATCAACCGGAAGGCAGATATCGTGTCAACCGTTAATGAAGCAATTGTGCGGAGCGTCCTAGTTCACGGGCAATTCAAACTGTATTTTTAAGTGAACAGAACTAAAAAAATTTATGTAATGTAATGAAAATACAACAAACACACATACAAAGTTTCGAAATAATTAATGTTACACTTTTGTTTATAAAAAATCCTAAAGTATCGATATCTTTTACTAAGAAAAAAGGAAATTCCCCCTTAAAGTATGCGATGTCCGCGACGCGACACCCGGCTTCCCTCTTCTACAGACTAGTATATACTTAACGATATTCTGAAACAATGAAAAATAAAGATTCATGGCACATGGTTAACAGACGTATCGATTACAGTGTACTCGTTTCGAAAGACCTGTGGAATCGCTCCGATTCGCTGATTGGTTCTCGATGCGACGCATTCGTCGTCCTTTCCGTACGTTTTTCTTTTTTTTTACAGTAGTTTGATTAATAGATGGGAACCCGCTATCGGCAGCGTCCTTTTTGTACAAATAATCCCTTAAATTAGAGAACAAGAGTTTAGCGTACGCCCGGGCGGGTCGCAGCCGCGCGATCCACGACGCGAACCGCGTGGACACTCCGCCCGCGCGGACAAAGAGTGAAAGATTTTTGATTCGCTCGACCACCGAGCTCTCCGTGGGACACAAAACAATATTCGATATTCACAGTTAAGCACATTGAAAAATACTTCGTCTCGAAATTCGCGGCGCGCGCGAGACACCGCGCTTCCTAAGGATTGACCGTCTAATTTTGCTCTAACTAGCCCGTAGCGTCTTTAAAAAATTAAATTTCTTAAGCTTAACACTAGATCCTGCCTGCAGAAAATTACGGCGCCCCGCTACCGGTCGACGTGGCTCATCGAGACCGTTCACAATCTCCCCTGATCGCGAGCGAAAATAAAACGAAGTTGACCGTACACTCTGAACAGCGGCGGCCGTTTTCTCGCGGAGAAGAGTTTTCGCGCGGACGCGCTACGCCGTCCCGCGGTCGATCTTGTTGCCCTATACGGAAAAATAGTACACTGTTACGGTACACTGTCTCGCGGTTAAGCGTTCGCGGGGAATTTTAGTTAGCCTTTTCGTATCGTAAACGTATACTCGAATCGACTGACAATCGAATATTTAAAATTGCTTTCAAGTATAAAAGTGAAAAACGACTCGTCGCTCGTAAAAACCGTGGGTTCGCTCGTTCACGGCGCAATGTCGGTCGGTTCGGCGAAGAATTGGCTGGACCGATCCCGATGAACCACAGCGAGCATCTCGCGTACACCTGGCCAGAAGGTTTTGCGGTCCGGAGCGCGACTCAAATAATTATACGTAAGAAGAGAATCGATACACGACGGTCCTGACGCCGAGGACACGCGTGCACGAGCGCTGCACGGCGGGACGTGTTCGACTTTCGTCCGAATCGGCGAGATTGCGGACCTGGATCGGCATCAAGAACTGTACACCCCTGTCGTTCGTTGAAAACGTTCGAAACCGCTGTTTCCGACTGGTTGAAATCGGATTCGGTCCTCCTAGTTTTAAATCGGCGGTTCGACGAGTGGAAGTACTTGACCGGCGTCCGATGGGAATGCTCTGTCGCGGCGGCGAGCGCTGTTATCGTGGTCGGGCACGCCTCTCCAATGGACTCGCTCGAAACGGGCCTCGAACCGTTTCGAACCAACCGTCTTAGATCCTTGGATCAGCTCGCTTATAAGTACCTAGCGTCAGCGATCCGAACAAACGAATTTGTCGGTCGTCGACTCGCAATTTGTTGTGAATTCTCGACTGTTTTAGGATCCCGGAGATCGGACTGAGAAAAATCGGACGCCGCGTTACCAGAGCTCACACTTGTGAACCGGATTCATCCGTGACCCCTTCGCGCAGTTGAATTCCGATGCGAACTCCGGCAGATTCAACAGTGGCCCGATCACTCTGTACTTCGGTGGACAGTGGGTGTCTTTCTCGATTTGGAGAGCCATCGCCTCGGACGTTATAGCCGAACACCAAACCTGTTTGCGGGATTTGAAACAGTTGTTAGTAACGCAGGTGTCTGAGCTGGGAACGATTCAACGTACGGATACATTGAAGAAGTGAGTAGATACCTGAGCAAAATTTAAGAAGAACAGCTGTCGGTGCGTCAAGTTTAAACCGGGCAGAGGCAACTGATCCTTGTACGTTTTAGGCGCGGTGACGTACGCGTGGTACGCCGCTTTAAGGCCTCCGTTGTCCGCGATGTTTTCTCCTATCGATCGACTCGATTAGTATAGAGAAGTTCAGACGAAGAAGGTGAGATCGCGTGACAGTGCATTACCCAATGTTTGCCGTCCGTTCACGTGTCGGCCGTCTATCTCGAAGCCGTTATACTGCTCCACGAGACATTCCGTTCTATTTTTGAATCTATCTATCGTCGCGTTGTTCCACCATTGATTCAAGTTCCCGTTCAAATCGTACTCTCTCCCTGAAATAGGAGAAACGATTACCGCGCTGCAGAAATGGGAACCGAACGGGGCAGCCAAGCGTCGTACCTTGATCGTCGAACGCGTGCGTCAGTTCGTGTCCCATGACCACCCCTATCCCACCGAAGTTCAAACTCTCGGGATTCTCCATATCGTAGAACGGACTCTGCAGAATACCGGCGGGGAACACCATTTGATTCTTGGTAGGCCTGTAGTAAGCGTTCACCGCGGGTGGAGTCATGATCCAAGTGGTCTTGTTCACGGGCTGGTCCAGCTTCTCTAAGTTCTTCCGTAAGTTGTACTTGTTCACCCGGATGTTGTTCTGGAAGTATTCGTTCTGCTTCACCGTTAGATCTTTGTACCGGTCGTCGAGCTCGTTAGGGTTCAAAATGAAGTTCGGGAAGCCGATCATGTCCGTGATCGCGTTCGCCTTCTCCTCCGCGGACCGTCTAGTCTCCGCGTCCATCCAGTCCACGTTCTTCAAGTTCTTCGTGAAAGCTTTGCGCACTTGGTCGACCATCTCCTCCGCCTGCAATCACTTTCCGTTACTGGACGAATCGGGACAGTCGACGACAGACAGTTCACCTAACCATTGGCTTGCTCTTCCCGCGGAAAACTTCTCGGACGAACATGACTCCGACCGCGAAGCCCATCGCGTTGCTGGTGTCGCTGACACAATAACGCCATTGCTCTTCTCGCCCTTCCGAGCCGATCAGGGCCTTCCTCAGACCCTTGTAAGCGTCGCGGAACGGTTTCGACAAGCAGCCGGTTAACGACCTCACCGTCTGCCAGACTAGATAGTTGTTTAGTACTCTGCGGAAGAAAAAGAAAGCTAGAGAATTCTCGATTCGAGAGAGGTCGAGAAGTATTCGGAAACCCTGTCCAGCTTACATTTTCTTCTCGTCGGTTTTGGTGTACTCCGACACGATCTTCGACAGCTTGGCGAAATATTCCGGCGCGAAGTTGACTATCGTCGCGGTGCCGTTGATCTTCTTCTTCACCAACCGCGTGGCGTTTTGGAAGTAGGTTACCCAAGACAACTGTGATTGCACGGACCATTATACCTACAGATCACTGTGGATCCCGTGTGCGAAGAGGAGAACGTTCTACGTACGAAAGGTGCTTTTTCTTGAAGCTGGTTCAACGTCATCAGGTTGTAAAGCTTCTCCTCGTCCCTGCGTTCCTCCAGTGGGATCGTAATCTTCGCCAACTGAGTCTCAAAGTTGATCACTTCCTGCATTTGTTTCCTAGTCGAGTCCTCCTCCCCGCCGAGCAACACGCCGATCTGCGAATACGCATTTTCCGTCGTGACTCTGTTCTAATTATTTCTTTAACCCTCTGCGGACCACCACTGCATATATGTATTCTTTATAAAGCGTCGATCTAGCCGATGAACTCATAAATGCCTCCGGTAAACACAATTGATAGAACATTTTATTTCTCATGTGGAGAAGCTGCATACATGTGTCCAGAATCTAACATTCTGAACTACTGCGAGCGATAATAGCGTGTAGACCAGTAGCGGCACGCGTAAAGGCACTGGAACTGCACCACCCCCAATTTCCACTTGATATTATCGATAACATTTGATGCAATGAGTCCTTGTTTAGTTCATTCTTTCTTTACGTACAATATATAATTCTGAACTGTTTGAGTACCACAGGTTTTTAAAAAAACACGGTCTTAATCTATGTTAATACTAATAATTAATATATATATATAATATATATAATATATATAATATATATATATAATATGTATATATATATAATATAATATTTAATTTATAATAGGTAACAACGAAATACAAAATGTATTACTTGGATTACTTATATACGAAAAAGTAGCGATGCGACGTACATGCGTCAGAAAAGTTGTGCGCGTTTCGCCAGATTGTGAGTGCGCCGTCAGTTGTCCGTATCGTTCAAATGCGCTGGGTTTTTTCGACATGAAATCTGAAGTGCGCGAAAGTCGCGTGTGGAACTCAAACGGTTAAGCTTAATATCAGTAGCCATCCTCCAGTTTACGAAAGAGATACAAACATTTTAAAACAAAGGCTAATCATTTTCTGGAGCAGCATCCCCACTAGTTTTAGTTACGAGTCGCCACTGGCGTAGACAGAAATGTGCACTGGCAATTTCAAACGACTATCGCGGCAGCAGCTCGTCTAGACGGGAAGCTTCTAACTGTCCCGTCCGCAGAGAGTTGAAAACTTCAGTTCGCAGGAATGTAGCGACGAGGATCGTTCACGGTATCATCTATCACAGCAGTACCTTCGTCATGTAGTCCAAATAGGCGGCCAACACGTTGCCGTGCTCGGTAACGTTCAGATAATTGTCAGCGGTCGGCAACGTCAGGCCGCCTTGGTCCATCTAGAAAAGAACACAAAACGATCGAGCCGTTAACGCGCGGAACCAGGAAGCGTCCGTAAAGATCTCTAGAACTCCCGAGCGCGCTCACCTGTATAATGTGCCTGGTGCTATTCCGTTCGTCTTCGTTTACCGCCCAAGTAAACAGACCGTCCATGTTGTATACGTTCTGCAGAACGTGCATGCTGGTTTGCAAGGACCACGCGGAGACGTTAAACTTCCCGGAGATGTTCCAGCCGCCGATGGCATCTAGCAGCTCGAGCATGGGCTTCGCGCCGAGCGTCTCTATGGTCTCATTCGCGTCCATGCACGAGAGAAAATAATACTTGGCCTTCTTCTCCGCCTTCGACTTGATCTCGGTGAGCGGTTTCTCTGTCGGCAGGAAAACACACGTCGATACTCGCCGTTAAAGGATTTAGTTGTTCCTTCGTTTTTTTTCTAGATCTGAAGGCGCTTCTTTTTATACCTTCTGAACATGTATAATAATTATGCATTAACCCTTTGCGGACGAATGTCGACATTTCGACGAGATGAAATTTTCATATTCGGAAAACTAAGTCGTAAATGATCGCATGCAACAAGTAGTCTATAATTTGTATATCGCTAAATATCCGTTCAATGGTATTGTCTGTATATACTATGAATGTAATTTGTTTCAGTAAATAGCAATACACGGTGTACAATTTATTTAACACGTTCACTGCCACGAGAAACGTCAGCGTTTGTACATATCACTTATTCCTTCGTGGCAAAGATAAAAAGGAACAATTATGAATTACTTGTTACCACGATTCTTACGTTACACTCTTATCTAGTTATTCACGCTATCGAACATTTTCACTCGACACCGGTTGTCTGAATTCTAATTGTTTCCAAATGTTTTCCAAGTTCGAACCCATGGGACCACTGTGGAAAGTGTTAACCACCTTGCAGGTCGCACCGTTTCCGCGAGACAGTTACCGAGAACGTTCTTGACCACCAGCTGATTCTCTTGCTCCAGTTTACCGAACGTTCCCCAGATGCTGTTCCCATCCGGTATCGGGTTCTTCTTCATCCAGCCGCCGCACGCGTACCCATAGAAGTCCTCGCACGGGTCCACCGTGCGGTCGATACTGTTTATGATGGACGCGGCCACGGTGACGCAGTGCTCCGTCAAGCAGTGCGTCCCATCTGAAAATACGGAATTATTTTTATGGCCTACAGTCGCGCACACCTCCTAAATGATCACGCCGAGTACACACCGTCTCCGTGAGATGTTACGTGGAGTATCTGCGCCTCGTCCCAGTTGTTCTTACTGCTGATCATTATTGAGAGCATCACGACCATCATCAGCAGGATCGAGCATATGACGAAAAGGTATCGCTCCAGCGCGCTCCTCGACCTCCACAGCCACGTACCCTGCGCGAAACAAACGGACCCCGCTCGTTTAAGCCTGTTAGAAAGCGTCGCGCGACCATTGAACTTCGTCTTATTGCTAGAATCATTCTATTGCTACTACTCCGGTCCAATAATACCAATTGTTCCCCCGTTCCCGTGCAAACGGGGAAACGACTTTTGCGCGGCCGAGCTCGTTGAGAAATCTAATCAACTCGCGTTCAAGGTGTCGTGGTACCGTTTGTACCACGAGAGGTTGGAACACGCTGGTGCTCTCGTCGTCACGAGCAACTTACGTGAAAAATTCTCGATTGTTTCATCGCGCGAGATGATCAAGTCGGTAATTCGAGAATGCGTTGTTTGCCAGAGACGAAAGGCAAAATACGTGCAAATCGAGTTCGCGACGCGGCTGTTTTTCTGATAGTCGGTGTAGATTTTACAGGACCATTATTCTACGAGTCAGGGGAAGGGGTGGATCTGCATTGTCAGATGCGCGGTTTATCGAGCAGTTCATTTAGTACTGGCTATGTGATTGTCGACCGAAGGGTTCCTAGATTGCTTTAGAAGATTTGTCGCGAGACGCGGTCATCGAAGTGTGTGTATAGCGACAATGGTACTAATTTTACAAGTGCCGCTAACGCTCTTATAGAATTAGACTGCGAAAGAATATTTAAATATAACGCGGCGCATAGAATCAAATGGGTCTTCAACCCCCTTTTAGCACCTTGGCGGGGTGGATGGTGGGAGAGACTTAGGAATATTAACACGTTCCGTGCACGGAAATTTCGGTCATATTTTGCTTATGAACTGTATTGAGTTTTTAAATAAAATATTAAGTTATATTCAAGTTTTCTTTTAATTTTATATATTTTGATATCGTTTCTTGATGTTTTCGGTGCTTTGTAACGTACACAGCTATTCTTGACCATGTGTCCACATGTGGTACACGTGGCACTGAACGTGTTAAAGACAATTTTAAGGAAAATTTCAGGGAAAGCGAGTTTATCATACGAAAGCTTAACGACGATATGTGACGCGATCTGAAACCATTGACACCGTCTATGTTCCCCCAACAAATTCGGGAGATTGTTGTGCCAGATGTAAACATGGTAGAGCACGCAAAGTTAAATAAAAAGCTTGAATACAGGCAGAAGATTTTTTATGATATTAGAGAAAGATTTCACGCCGAGTATCTGGGTGAATTGCTGCTGAAAGAGAAAAGGAAAGAAACGCGCAAGATAAAAAAGGGCGATGTTGCTCTAATCGAAGATGATAAACGTAAACGCATCGATTGGACCACGTGCACGCGTCGTCGATGTAGTATCGGGACGCGACAGCGAGAAGAGAATATTTTTCTTGAAAACAAAAATCGGAATACTTAAAACACGCGTTCAACGTATTTATCCTCTAGAAATACACCGTGGAACATGATTTTTCTTTCGTAATAGCCACTGGATAGTCCTTATAAAGTTTCTTACCTTGAACACGAATCCGGAAACCGAATTGCTGGTCCAGTTCTCGAAAAAAATGGGATTTTGTAAAAACGGTCGAGTTTCGCCGAGAAACAAGTGTTACGTGGAAACTAACAAATGATAGGCGGTTAAAATTTATCATGAAAAATAGAGGAGAGTTGCCCGAATATGTAGCTATAAAAATGTTGAATATTGCGTATCATTGAATGTTTGCGAATGATGATCAAAGCTGAAAGAATCGTGTATCGGCCAGAAACAATTGAATACTGAAAAGAAAAGAGGAGAACTAAAGGGAAACGTGATCGAGTGTACTCAGGGAAGAACCGTGTAAATGGTCATCCCGTGAGCGTGACTGACCGTGACAGAAATCTTAGATCAGTGACAGGAAGTCGCCGCGTTTCTTTTTGTCCACGGAAGACCGCTCGAGCCGAGATCCAGTTGACCGAATTACACATTTCCATCGATCCGAATTAGACAATCGAAACGTACCGAACGATATCTGATGTATGTCGCCGAGGTGCTGATGTCCTCGCTGTTCAGTACGCCGGACCCGATGCTGTTGATGTCCTCATCCTCGTTCCCTGCCTGTTTGTACATCATCATCTGCAAGGCAAAACCACGAAACGATTACTGTTGACCGGCGTCGATTTATTTCTCGTACGCGAAACATGAACGGAACAGTCGTGAATTCGCTCGAAACGAAAAGACTCACTGGAGGCGTAAAATCAAGGACGCAAAACACAATGCCTAGCGCGCGAGACGATCTAATTGCTAACTGGTAAATATTTCCGAGGACCAATCACCGAAATAGCTTCCCGTGCACGGGAATTATGTTAATGACAATGTTCTTGGAGCGCTCCGGCGCTCGACGTTTCCACTGCCAGAATTCCGAGCGGAATAACTCCCGCACGACCGCTCTCGCTCTGCGGGGAGAAGAGAGCATGCGCCCTTCGCGTGATTTCTACAACTAAAACACACAGCTGCAGTTGCATACCGCACTCGCGCATTCGTACACACAACGCATACACGCTCGGCTGCCCTACGATAATTTGGTAAATTTCATTTGACATTTTTCAGATTTAAAATAATTGCTAGATTTTTGTAGGACGATACTGTACTCTTAATTTATGCTGGAATAGTTTTGAATGGTGATTCTTTTAATGCAGAGTAAAAGTACTGAAATTTACCGATACCTAGTGTTTGACGATTTCGACCCACTGTGCGTTACGAAGAACCGAATACCAGGGACGCCGGTTGCTTTCTCATCGCGGGAACAATATTGTGACGATTGCGCGTAATTGATAGGACGTATACAAAAGAAAACCGGTGAACACGGATCCGAAGCTCAATGATTCCCCAGATGAAAACAGCTTTCGTTTAAAAAAGAGTATAATATATAGACTGTATCGAGGACACCGAATTATCTCGGAAACTATCAGTGATAGGAACAGATGTGTCAAATAAATGTTACAGGGTATGAAATACTATATATCACGGCAAGAAGTATATTACTATGGCGTGACCTTGAAACGTCCTGCAGGGGTCACATCACAATTCTTAACACGTTCGTGTCCGCGTCACCCGTATCTCTGGGTGACAGGTGTACCTCCAAATATGGGTGACGCTCTTCTTGTTCAAGTTAATAGGATTTTCAATTGGATTTTTAAAAGGAACTTAATGGAATAAGTACTGAAATATAAATGCAGGATACGCAACATAGAAATATTAAAAATATACACATTATACATCCTCCATATCCGAATCTGAACTCGATGAAACTTTATTTATAACTCTTATAAAACTCACTACTTCGCCATCACTACTTTCCTTACTTTCAATTGTACTTTTACGCCGTCCAGTGAACATTTTTAGGATAAAAAGATCACTGATGTGCATCTGGAAAAGTATGCTTCTTGACTAAATGGAGGATTTGGAATAACTGCAGTGAGATCTCTCGCCGACCTCTAGCCGAAAAGATTATCATTTTCCCCATTGCGGAACTAAACACTGCATCTTTTATAATGAAAAGACGCGGGCCTACTCGGGCCTGTGTCCTTGCTATTCCCGCTTATCTCTCTGTTTATTTTCTGCCGCGCCGACAGTCGGATTTGGGCCCCGCAAGAAACTCGGCCGAATCGCGGTGGGCGCCGAACGTGTTAAATGGAACCCTACACTTTCGATTTCATATTTTTGAAACGCACGTTCAGACACTTCGAAACAATAGAAACGAAATTTCTCGCGTGACAATCGCACTGTCCGTCGAGTACCATCCCTATCGACGAACCGACAACTTCCGGTTGCTGATATTTTGGTAAGGTTTGGTGACGTTTCGCGTCACGATAAAATACCTCCCGCCGTGATACATAGCATTTCATGCTGTGTAACTTTTGTTCAACACATGTGTCCGTATCACTGATATTTTCCGAGATAATTCGGTGTTCTTCATTCGGTCCCTATACATTCTTTTTTAAACAAAACGACTTTTACCTCGGGAACTATTGACCTTTGGACCCGTGTTTGCAGGCGTCTTTTTACACGGACTAGTAAGTTGTACGCGTTTTATCATTTCCGCGAAATAAATTAGGAACACCATGTATATTTCTTGTACGGGCGGTGAACGCGAGGACAATGCGTCACAAGCAATAACGAAAAATTGTGGCGCGTGCGCCCCCAGCCTGGCCTCGCTGACCTCCTCGGCCGAATTAACGCATTATTGGGACATCTTTCGACACCTTCGGACGAGCAAAGCGTTTTCAAGACTTTCTTCGAGGCTTTGAATTCTTCTTTCCTTGCATTGTGCTTTTTCGCGAGATTATATATTAACACTTTGACTGCCACGGCGGTCACCGATGACCGGAGCTTTCGAATTACAAGAAAATAGTTATCACTTGGAAGATAATTGGTTTCAAATACAAATTTTCGCTTTGTAATAATTCTCGCTTTGTATCTTTGCTATAGAAAGGATAAGTGATGCATAAAACGCTTATGTTTTTCGCGGCAGTCAACGTGTTAAGATACCGACGAACGATTCGAAGTAGTAAGCGGAATTAGCATACCGGGAACTAGTTGAAATTGAAAATTGTTCGAATGTTACGTTCGACGTACTCGTCCCGAACCGTAAACCATAAGATACTTAGACGCCACGTGTGACGCAGCGACAAACTGTCACCGTAAAAACCCCGTAACCGTAAAGACCAAACAAATAGTTATAAATCACGACGATGACGAAACGAACCTAGACTTTTGACAATATCCCACTTTAAGACACCAAATAGACACACCCTCGGCTAATGATGAAACACAACTATCCTCCACACAAAAATGCAAGTGACCAATCCCAGAGAAACCCAAGTTTACATAAAACATGACGCTACGAGAACCAGTATTACTTTTATACCAACAATCCGCCGTGTGTCATTCTTCAATCGAGACAAGAACCCAACCGTTTATACGGAAACCCTTCCGTGTGTTGCGACAACGTAACGTCGAACCTTGTTCAATTCTCACCGCCTCGACAACCGAGACGCGTGGAAATCGACAGCGCAACTGACAAAGGAAACATCGTCGCGACAACATTGAAGCCCAATAGATCTACACGAATAATTTACACGAGTCTACGCAAGAGAACGAGAACGTTAAACAGGAAAGTTCAAAGAAGACAGGTTTCTTTTGAGAACACCAGCGTCGATCAGCTGAACGGATCGCATAAACTGCGCAACGAAGATGAGAAACCGCAAAGGAAACGCGACGAAGCTCTTGTCGGAAGCAAGCAGCATGCACGAGGAGGAGCCGCTTAAGCACGCGCGCACGCGTATGCAATCGAGCTGTCAGTTTCGTCACTGGCCTTTCGTTGTGGCAGGAAACGGACACTTGTACCGATGTTAATACAATTAAAATGTTTTTCGCTCGAACCCGTCGGATCTTATTCGATCCGTTCTATTCCGCGGCGACGTCCGTTGGGAGCAGAAACGACCACGACCGCCGTGATATGCGAAACAACCGCGCGAATCCCGGCACAGATCAGCGGGCCGCGTCGAGTATTTCGGTGACAGATTCAATTATCCAGGGAAGCTAGAACTAGCGGTCGTTACGGCAGCAGCTAGACGGCGCGGCAACCGGGAATTGGCTTCGCTCGAGCGTTAAACGAGCGCGTTACCTCGATTTCGTCTAGATGGACGCGAAACGCGCGGCCTGCAGCCGCGAAACTAAGCTCGCCCGTCTGCACCGGGCCTATTGGTCGCAGAGACGAACGTCGCTAAGATTAGACTACAGGAAGAAGACGCGAGCCACGTGCAATTATCTCGTCGACGAGCGAACGAGCACGAAAGCGCGACGCAAGCTGCGTTCTCGCGACGATACTGGCGGGCCTGGAATCGCGTCGGCACGGAGGACGAATCCCCTACCGTCCGACGCGATTGCGACGCTTCCTAGAGCCTAGATAACACTCTATCGATCGGTCCGCTTGCGATTACGTTCCACGCGATGTACGATTTACAGAAAATCGCGCGGGCATTTTCGGGTCCCCTGCGACATTGGCATTACGTAACGCCATACGCCCACTCTTCGGACGACGTTGCACTTGTGCAGCGAACGAAACCGAGTCAACGCGCCGAGAGGGTGGTGTCTGTCCATCGTCGGCGGCTCCGGTTCCCCGTTTTCCATTCCAACTCACCTTCACCGACATCTTTGCCCGCCACCGATCCCGGAATCGTCGCACAATCACTTCAATTATCGATTCACTAGACCGAGAGCCGGGTCGAATCACCCGATGATGGACGAGCAGCACCGGGACGACAGGGCGAGATAGGGTGACAGGGCGACGGAACGGCGGAACGACGGGGCGACGGAGAAGGAAGGGCGATGGCCGAAGGATGAAGAAAGCCGAGGAAACACGGTACCACGCTCGTCCCCGAGACTATGACATTTTCCAGCTCGGTTTTTCGTCGCAGCTCCGCCGCTGTATCGGTGCCGCCAGGTGCGCGGCTGTCTCTCTCTCATGGGGATGGTTTGATGCACCTCCAACCCCTCTACCAATCCTCCTCGTATTGATTTCCGCCGGATCCCTGGATGGCACCTGCCATCTCTTTACCATTCGACTTTCGCCACGCTCCGCCGGGCACCGTTTACCATCGCAGTCCACGCTCGTCTGTTTTATCGGCGTAGCTTCCGATAACGATTCGCGATCGTCTTCCTCTAATTCCTATCGCATCTGCAATCATCGAAACGCGAGGACCAATCTGGTTGCAACGACTGGTTACCGGCTACTCACTTGTCAGGATTCTAATCGATGCCCGCGAACGGCTGGTTCCATGGGGTTCTCCTTCCGCGGGTAGCGACCGATAACGGAGACGACGCTCGGAAGGAACTGGTGGTTTCAAGGGATGCTGTGCGAGGGATCGTAGTCGATCGAGGCAGGACTCGGTAACTGAAAACAGATCGAGGAGAGAGTGGATCGAATCGCAAGTAATCGTGATGGAAAGAAAATAATGTTACCGATTTGAAGGAGACTAACTGGGTGGTTGCAAAGAGCAATGCCACGAACGTTACGTGAATAAATATTTCGTCTTTATTTCAGAAAGACATTCCTTCTCCTCCGTCTCCTCATTATCCATCAACTTGCCCCCCACCCCACCCCCCTTGCCCCCTACTCCTCCACTCGTTAGGTACAATATATCTTACAGTATGGTAATACGAGTATGATTGCACGTTACGGTCAGAGGATCGTTCGGACTAGTTTTATTGGTTAAAGATATGTAACACGCAGACACTACGCACGCACACAAAATATAGTGATATTCCTGAATCTATAGAAGACATCCGTGGATCCGGAGCGTCGCATGTCGTTCACCTATAACACGCGCGTTTGCGTATTCCTTTTTTTCAGACGGACAGAGCGGTGATCAACGACCCGTCCCTGTTCGGGATCGGTTACAAAAAATAATTGCGCGTGTACGTGTACGCGCGTGCACGCGTACTTTCGTTATTCCCTTCATTTTCGTTAAGCTAACGGGTTGGCTGGGCGCGCGATCGAGCGGCTATCGGCTCACGCGAGATTCGGCCGCGTCGCGAGCCGCTCGACCGTTCGTTTATCTATACGGACACGTTGATTGGCACGTATGTTGTTCGCTTTGGACCGCAGTTACAGTCGGGAACCTATAGAAAATAATCGGAAACGCGACCACTCGGCGATGATTCCCGTGTCCCGATCGCGTTCGAAGAATGAACGGCCGTTTTCGATTGATTGGTCTCCCCTTTGATCCCTCCCCTTTTAACGCGTTGACCGCCCCGAGGATTTTCACCGTTTCGTATATAAACATTACTACTTGTCCTCTCGTAGCGATGGCAAACGGTATTGGAATTGGTTCTCAACGGTTTAGCATGATGGTCCTTGAGTGACGGTATTATTTAATTACTCGCGTTATCGGGTATGTCAAGTGAATTCCTTCGTGTGGGTATGTCTTCGATCATTTTGGAAGATTCGCCGGCGACCACCGTGACGGTCAACGCGTCGACGCGTACGATCTGGAAAAAGATGAAGACTCGAGAGAAAAGAAACGGATATGCGTTCGCAGGCAGTCGTCGCTCGTAAATCGTATAATCGTATAATCGTAAACGGTATAATCGTAAATGGTATAATCGTAAATGGTATAATCGTAAATCGATCGAAACGTGATCGTTCCCATCGGACTCCACCTTTTTCCCTAGCCACGGTTCGCTCCTCTCGTTCCCGTTCTCGCCGGGTGTCCGAGACCTTCCCCTCACCCTGCTTGCACGCTGTGTACCGTAAACAAACTAGAGGCTCTTTCGTAAGTCACAATATGTCTTCTTAAAGTTAAATGGAACAGCGACGGCTTTGCCGGGCGACGAAGGAGATCGGGCTTAATCCTGAAATATCTGAGACTGCGTGAACGTGGAAACACGGGGAACGTGTGTGTACTTTAGTTGAACGGTGCTCGATCGAGCCGTGAAAGGAATCGGGATCGTTCACCACGGGACGGTCCGAGGTATCCCGATCGCTCCGCGATTTCGTGGCGGGCGGTTTTAAACGGGTTTCACGGGGTTTCACGGTATAGAAAATCGCGACGCGACAGACGGTCAAATTTGCGATAAAACACTTGTCCCTACTTAACCGGAACGTTCGATATTAAAAAGTTACTCGTGATTCGTAAATGTGTGCGACGATGTGCGAAGATTAGAAAAAGGGTGCGCTAACGAGTCGATTGGCATGCCGATATTAAAATGTAGGACGACGAGAAGTATGGCGTCAATCGACGGTTTTGTGCGTAACCGGAGTTAGTTGAGCCCATTCATAAAAACAGGGACACCGTTCGCGTAATTGAGTGCGCGGGTCGGCCGAATGCGACGCGTTCGCCTCGGAGACTAACTAAGAGTACCGAACGACCGCGAATTCAGACCGCGTCCTCGAGCGAATCGTTTATTCTTTTTTCCAGCGGTGTCACGTGCGTTCACCAACGAAATTGTGCTCCGTCGACAACCGCCGGCGGACAGGTTAGATCGGTCCCGCCGGTCACCGACGGTTCGAACGTTCGTGAAAATGAAAACGATGCTCTGAGTGTTCCCATAGGTTTCTCCGTAAAACATTTCACCAGAATAGTTATTATTGCATCGAGCTACCTTTCGCGCGCGCGCGCGCGCGCGTCGGATTCCCGAGAGCCGTTCGGCGATCCGGAAGTGAACGCGGCGTCGAGGATGGCTCGCGTGCCCCGCGAACGTGCCGCGCGAGACCGCGGTTCGTTCGAAAAATAGACAGGTTCAACAAGCATTGTAGTAGGTACAACATTAAACGTTTCTCTTAATACGCGACAAGTATACACCGACATATCGGAGGACCCGTTAAAAAAATAATACTGCGTTCGTTTTCTTTACACCGATTGCGGGATGGAACGTGTTGTTCGACGTTGTCGACCTAACGATCGTGTTAACGATAACTATATCCGTACACGTACGTACACTCGTCAGCACGGATAATCCTGCCGGCGTGCTCGACGAGTACGCGTACGCGTATGCATGCACACACACACACGCATATATTATTATACGCGGGAAATCGTACGGCAACGTGTATACAAGAATAAGATGCCGTTCAAACGGCGGCACGCTCAGGTGCCCAGTCCAACGATTTCGATCTGTTTAATCTATGTTTACTTTCAAAATGAGAATTTGTACTGACGTTGGCGAGACTAGGACGACGCCGCTGTCCATCCCCGACGTTCTCCGTCGAGGAGGACTCGCCGCCGCCGCCGTCGGAAACGAAAGACTCTAATATCACATTGTTGGATGGATTTTCTGAATCGTTTCCGCGGACATCCTCGATTTCGCGTATCGAGGAGAATCCTGTGGTGGACTCCGTCGCGTTCCGTCGTTGCTGTTCCCGATCGCTGTCCTCAGCCGTCTCGCTCGGACTTGTCTCCGGCTGGCCGTGCACCTTGGAGATCGATCGGTCGTTCGGCTCCCAAACGTTCGGCTCTCTACTGCTGCCCGCTGTACAATCGATATTCACCATCATATACCTCTCCATCCTCGGCACTTCGTAACTCTGATTCTCCGGGTCCGAAGTGTCCGAAGACTTGTCCAGCGAATAGGGAACATAGTTTGTGGAGGTACCTCGGTACATACGAGCGAAACCGTCCCCAGGAACGAACGACTGCTCCTGGTAATTGAAAGGAACACACACGTTCTGTCTGATCGTCCCGTCCGCGAAGAAATACGGCGGGAAACGTGGCAACGGTACCGGCTCGGTGTTGTCGAGCTGCCGGGAACTCGCGTTCTCGCTCTGGTATTGCGCGTTCTGCTCCAAATTGCCGTTCAGCCTCGTCGACGGGTTGCACGCGTACGAAAAACATTGTGGCACGCTCGAGTTTGGTAGAACACTCGGCGTTTGAACGTTCACCCGGGTCCCCGAAGATTCCGGCGACGCCGGGTTCGATATCTTACCGCGTGTCTGGGCTATCACAGTTTCGTAGCTCGGCGGTGGACCGTATAGTTGGTAGTACGGGCAGTTTACGTCATTCAGCACGACATTCATGTTCTGGTAATGCGTCGAAGTAGTCGGAGTACCGTTGTACGCTGGAACCCCTCCATTCCTTTGCGGACCTACGCACGAGACCCATTGTTATGAACATTACATCATCGAGATTCAATTCGGTTTCGTCTACTCGACTCGATTAGTCCAGACGATTAATCCTTTGGCTACTGTTGACGCTTATAGACGTCGGTAAAATGTTATTGACAATAATTGTAACTTGGACTAACACGTTCGCTACCAGCGCTTATTTCAGTGACAATCAATTATATTTTGTTCAATCCAATAAATCTTCTAAACAAAATACTAGAATAAAGATACTGCAACAGGTTATTTTGTTTCGAAATATAACGTCGTAGTTTATAATTTCTAATAACAATATCTATAGGATTCATTTGATTTTCATTATATAAAATATAGGATTACAAATACGTGACGCTGGTGGCAAACGTGTTAAACGTAAGTGAATTCTAATTCAACGATTATATCTTACAATCTAAACTCAACGGTTAATCTTATTATTTCATATCAGTTTGATTTAGCTCGATCCAGTGTTTCGATTGTTTCAATACACTTTCTTAGAAGTGCGCGCTAACGCGAAATTCCATCGTTCCCTGTGCGGTACGCGTTAGAATCTACTGTAGCCAAGGAGTTAGAATTGGCTGGTGCACTAGCCTTTCCACATCCGATGCAACAACACGGTGTTCCTCGCCGAGTTGTAAGTGATCCGAGCCCTCTGTCCCTGACATGGCGGCCCTCGGAAGGAATTCTGAGCCCGAGGATTCGAAGCTCTATTCGGAATAGCCGACGCAGCCGCTCTATACCTCCCTTGCAACCAATATCGATACCACCAACCACCGCCGGAACACACCAAGAATATGATTATAACCAATATCCTGGAAATAAAGATTATGCAAGTGAGTCTCGGGCGAATTGTATCGGAAGATAAAAATAACAGGCTCCCGACAGCCGGCGTGTACGTACCAGTAATACCATAAATGATGAAAATGCAATCCCGGCGACACGCAACAACCAATACCGCAACAATATTCCGTTCTAGAACACCTGAAACGATTGCACGGTGTATAGTTTACTCTTAGCCTCTCGTTCACGTTACCGTAATTGCTTTTCGCTAACGAATACACCGATAGAACGATATACGACGCGTTGTAAAATTGAAATTCCAAATGCTCGTTCGTTACTTCTTTTCTTTTTTTTAACCCTTTGCACTCGAGAAGTGATTCTCAGCCACCGCTTGGTTTAACGCAGTAAAACTATAAAATTTGATATTCGACACGTTGCATGCCATGGGGGTCACCGGTGACCCCGAACCGAGTTACTGCAGTTCATTCAATTAAACGACGATTATCTGAAAACATTTCTATATTATAAACAATGCTATCTAATATGGTGACATTCAGCTAGATCGACATGCAATAATAATACTGCAAATCAATCAACTGATTCAATATTATATTTTTCCTATTTCGCGCATTTTGTTCTATAAAATCGTGCGACACTCAACATGTTAATGTTTCACTTTGATATACTTCTAATTTCCCTTCGAGTCAGCTTCAGAGAATATCGTCTTTGTCTCGCGAAGAAATATGAAGCATTTCCAGCGAGGAACTTCCGAGTGCAGAGGCTTGAATAATTTTGAAAAAAAAACCGTTCGGCCGTCCCTTCCAACGAACGAGCGCCAGGAATGTTTGCAATTTCATTCTTGAACGACGCGACTCGTTCAAAAGAAGATTTTCATCGTCATCCTGATCGTGACGTTACGAGTCCGTGTTACAGCGGCCGCATCCTCGTCTTATAGTAGAATAAACATAATTACGTGTAGGGGGGGAAACTCACTCATAGTATTTTATTTGTCCAGGCCTTTCAAAGGCACAATATTTTGCTTCTGCCTAAAAGAAGTTATTGTTTTAAATTGGTTGGCGTACCAGGGGCGAAAATTAATCGATAAAAATGAAAATGAAAAGCATCGTTGGCATTACCGTCCTCTAAGGAGATATACATTTCTAACGAGATCGATCGAACCGCAGCCCGCCGATCTTATTCGAAAATGTTCCCTTCGGCACAGGTGCGAATTATCGCAAAATTAAAATCGACCAGTTCGCTCGGCTGCTCTGCGGCGAGCAACGTCGAGAACCAAGTTAAAAGGGATCACTCACGTATATCAAGCACTTCGAGGTTCCGGCGAATATCGCCAGCTTTTTCTTCGTGTTCCGCGCCATCTTCTCTAGATACATTCACGCTTTCATTCCTGGCGAAGAAAAACGAGACGCTCCGACAGAATGTTTTGACATAATCACCATTTCGCTCCGACTGTCATGTGCACACAACATTGAACACCATTTATTGATTTCAATTTCGGAGCTTCTCAATGACGTCATAGAGCACAGAGCAGCCAACGAGAGAGAGACAGAGAGAAACCAGCGGTTGGCACCACTGGGCTGTCTCATCTCTCTTGAAGTTAACTTCAGATTTCCGATACGTCGCTGCGATTACTTAATGTTCATTTCTAATTTCTATCGAGAGACAGAGAACACTCGAAATAACCAAAACGACCGGCTATTTTTCACGTCATTCGAAAATATATTTTTCTTCGAAAGCAGGAGGAATACATTTCAGTGTATCGTTGGTAAACTGTAGATGATTATGCGTACATGAGATTATTTTATTTGGCGTTTCATGGAAACGTTAATGAATTATGGTTATGGGAATTTCTGTTTAGTTTCATTGTTTGTAAATTGATCTGTGGTTAACTGTGTGAATATAAACATCTATAATGTACTTATTAATCTAGATATTATTGTTTTAAGGAGCATAATAAAGCTCGTGTTCTTCTACCATTGCTTGGAATTAGTTAAATAGATAAAACTGTGTTCGTTACAAGGAAACCTTTGCTGTTTCTACTTGTACCACGCAGTCTTTTGTCGTTGGGTTCTGGTCTATTGTTTTGCATCCTTTTTGCGAATACAGTAACGTGTAACTGATTTTGAAGTATCTTTTGAAGAATGGAGCGTAACCGCGACGTGAGCCACAATAGATACAGACGGAACAAAGCGCCACGAGAATCAGTGTTCCGAGTACGATAACCCTGTTAATAACGTAATTTCTTATTAATGTCGGACGTAAATTCACAGAAATTACATTGCGATAAAGAGATAAGTAAGTACGTTAAAAGTAAAGAATAAAGATCCGTCTCCCCGCAACATTCATTATCGCCGCAACAATACTCCCACGGTTTGCACGAGCCCCAAATGCAGTAATGTACCGAATTCTGAAAAAAGAATCAAGGATATTTAAATGTTCCGTTTGTGATTTATTTTACTAAATATATTCGATAATAATCAGTAACGATCTGAATTACCATTGAAAAAGTGTAAATAGAACAAAACGATATTGTCACATGACAGCTGTTCTGTCAAAACATGATCATGAATTATAAGCTTACTAGATAGGCAACGTACACGTGCTAGCAAGTGAGCGTCGTTTCCAACGAATGAAATTTATTTTCATGGAAACAAGATCATCGTAGGTAGAAATATGTTGAGTGTCTATTTTTAACATTTTATTGTCTATGACTATAAAAAATCGAATGATCGCGTAGAAATCTGTTATAACTGTGTGCGCAAGATTTCCGGAACATTTCGCACGTGTTGTTCCATGAGTTTTGCAAATATTTCTAAAAAAATGGCGTTGAGTCCGAGCACAAAACAAAAAATTGCAATTGTTTTAGACGTGAGCAAAGTCATATTTCATTGGGGCTTTATTCCTACGATATTATTTTTAGGTTAGATATATATACTTTATTTAAAATTTGTCATTATGAATTATTGACTTACGTTTACTCGTAACGCAGTGGAGACACAGTAAATTTATAATATTAATCGAATAATTATTTTTATAGGATTCAGAAAAGGAGCTGATCCAGGCATGCCAGAATTAAATCTCATGAAGTAAGTTTTCTGTAAGAATTTGGAATATACAGTAAATCATTTTGCCTTCGAAATAATACAATATTTTTCTATTCATTTTTTCAGCTTACTGTGGCAATAAATACATCAGTTACAACAATGTTCCTTTTTATTTCTAATTCCTATCGATCCATCAATGCGTTATTTATGTACTTGTTATAGTTTAATCTATTTTCCTTTTTAATTAGAGATGTAAGGATAAAAATTATTAGTAAGAGAATATTCTGTTAATGTTAAACATGATGAAATAAAAGTTTTCTACCTATGCATTTCTGGTGTGTGTTATATTCGTGGCAAAATACTGAAAGTATAAAAAGAGTAAAAACAAGCATACGAAATGAAATGTGTAATCATTGTTTGGTTGAACATTAAAACCGCGAATATCCGTTAAAAATGCATTGATCCTTAAAGAAATTCGTGTAATGTAAGAGACAATTAAAATTTATTTAAATTTTCGCAGACCGATCTCGCAAACAGTGCATCCAACGTCGCGAAATTAGAGACGCTGTTGTTTCGCGAGGTTTTATTGTCATTTTCCGAAATTATAAATTCATAATTCTTTTCTTTGCCTTGTTTTTCATACGTAGCAACGTAATCACAAAGAAATGATGTATTGGCACAATCATTGAGAAATGAAAATTTTATCACCGTAACGTTTAGCGGGTTCGTGTGGATCTGTTAAAAAAACGGACGTCTCCGCTGAATCGTGAACAACGCTCCGTTGGCAGCAGTGGCACCTAACCTGTCAGAAGTAGCTGATCACAACCGTGATCAGTTTTTGGGCACATTAAGATACAAGATTTTAGGTTCGTGGATCTGTCGTGTTTGTCACCACGGACAGCAAAGAAATAATAAGCAGAGGTAGTGAAAATTTCCCATCGATGTGTATGTAGAGTGGAGTAGCGGTGATCGTTAAAGGTGGCCACCAGATTTTCACGAGAACTCCCTTGTCCAACCCTGCCTGTTATGCGGTGGTGAACGTCGACAGGTGAGTGTACATTTTCTGTCTCAAGATGCACACTTCCCTCGTTTTACCGACGAAAAAAAGTATTCTCTGATGGCGACGGGCTGTGCTGGACTTATTTCTACGGGTTACGTTTCATCTGGATCAGCGATAGTGACGGGTGTAGTAGTGTTGTAGCTCGAAGATTTTCGATGTTCCGAAGTTCCCTGACGAATGATCGAAGCCACTACTAATGATGCATATCCTGATGTAACTATTTCGGTATGGATCTTCCAATTACCGACTAACTCTTTCCACGCAAACCATGTTTCTCACGGATATATTTATATTCGGTCGAACCTACAATCATTCTCTCCTAACATTCAACGTACACACGCGCAAAAAAAACGTTTCACGCAGTTTTATTTATAGTTATACAAAGCAGTTTTCAACAGCCTCAAGTATGTGCGTAAGCAAGTAGTTGTGACATCAACATTGTGAAACTATCGATAGCTTATTGGAGCCACTCAATGTGATGCACTCTAAAACTAATTGCAGCAACTGATTCTGTTTCTGTTTCTTTATTCTTATTATCATTCCATTTACATCGAACAAAGCATTTGTGACAATGTTGTACCTTTATATAAATGAAAGTAAGACTATACACTTCACCGTTTGATACTTGTTTTAATTCCTTCATTCTTATATATTTACTTTTAATTTTGCATTAAATCTAACACGATCCATTCGCTTTTATGTTTTTTTCAACAGAAATTATTGTAGGAAGTAGTAACAGTGACGCTCACTCGACAAGCGTATAGAAATAGGATGTCAGGGTATAGAGGCAGCGGAGGAACTGGGAGTCATTACGGAGGCTCCTCAGGCCTCAGACAAATAGATTTAGATCAAATCTGGGGAGATCTCCGTGAGGGTATTGAGCAAGTTTATAACAGACAATGTATGTCTAAACCAAGATATATAGAATTATACACGTATCCTTTATATCATAAAAATAATTAAGAAAAATATAATTACTTATTATTTAATAATTTCCTTAATACATCGTGCACAATTTATTAGACATGTATATGATTATTGTACAAGTGTTCATCAACAAGTGAATAGACCATCAACTAAAAGCAAGAAAGGACAAATTTCTCAAGGAGGTGCACAGTTAGTTGGTTTGGAATTATATAAACGTTTACGTGACTTTCTTACAAATTATCTCACTAGTTTATTAAAGGTGATCATTTTTCTGGTATTATTAATGTTCAATAGTTCAGAGAGCAAACATATTTAATGTAATTATTTTATTATCTTTGATACAGCACGGTGTAGATTTGATGGACGAAGATGTACTGCAATTCTATACAAGGCAATGGGAAGAGTATCAATTCAGTAGCAAAGTTTTACACGGTGTCTGTGCGTATCTCAATCGCCACTGGGTACGTAGAGAAAGTGATGAGGGACGAAAGAAGGTTTATGAAATTTATCAACTGGCTTTAGTTACATGGAGAGAAAATTTATTTATGCATTTAAATAAACAAGTAAGTTATTTGATATCATTTATGAAATATATGTGTGGAAACCATATTTTAGCATATAAGAAATTCAACATTGCAACCAATGTGCTTCAGGTTACAAATGCAGTGCTTAAGTTGATAGAACGAGAACGCAATGGAGAAACAATAAATACACGCTTGGTCAGTGGAGTAATTAATTGTTACGTAGAATTGGGTTTGAACGAGGAAGGGCATAATTTGAATGTTTATAAAGATTCCTTTGAAAATATGTTTCTTGAAGATACGGAAAGGTTTTACACTCGTGAAAGTTCAGAATTCCTCAGGCAGAATCCAGTAACAGAATACATGAAGAAGGTTTGAAGGCAAAAATTATATAGCTTCTTGAATATTTCTTAACAAATTACTTGCAATTTCTATTTTACTACAGGTAGAACAAAGGCTATTAGAAGAACGAAAACGGGTTCATGTCTACTTGCATCAAACAACTTGTGAAAAATTGGCAAAAACCTGTGAAAAAGTGTTAATTGAAAAGCATTTAGACATATTTCACTCAGAATTTCAAAATCTTTTAAACGCTGACAAAAATGTGGATTTAGGTCGAATGTATCAACTGGCAACAAGAATACCTAATGCTCTTGGTGAACTACGAAGTCATTTAGAAAGTCATATAGCAAATCAAGGTCTTGCAGCTATTGATAAATGCGGCGAAGCTGCGTCTAATGTGCGTCTTCTGTTACGTATTATGATAATAATATAATTATAATTGTATTAACCGTTTTTTAAAACTAATTCTTTTCTTATAGGATCCAAAGGTTTATGTGAATACAACTTTAGAGATTCATAAGAAGTATAATGCTTTAGTACTTGTTGCATTTAATAATGACAGTGGTTTTGTGGCAGCTCTTGATAAGGCTTGTGGAAGATTTATTAATAATAATTCAGTAACTAGAACAGCAAATAGTAGTAGTAAATCGCCAGAGTTACTAGCAAAATATTGTGATCTATTGTTGAAAAAAAGTAGTAAAAATCCCGAGGAAGCAGAACTTGAAGATACACTTAATCAAGTTGTGAGTAAAAACCATACAACAAATAAAAGCAAAGGTCAAACTAGATTGTTAACACTTCTTAATTATAGATGGTAGTATTTAAATATATCGAAGACAAGGATGTATTTCAAAAATTCTATAGCAAAATGCTGGCAAAACGTTTGGTACAACATATGTCGGCCAGTGATGATGCAGAGGCTTCTATGATCTCGAAATTGAAACAAGCTTGCGGTTTTGAGTACACCTCAAAATTACAACGAATGTTTCAGGTACTGTGTTAGGGTAAAAAGTTGTGTCATAATCATTAACATTTATTTCACATAACGCAACACATTCATTATTTTTCCTCCAGGAAATTACTTTTATATCGCATTAATTTAAATTTTGCCAAAACTATGCAACATTTTGATTATAGCAGTCTGTCCACAGGATATTGGCGTGTCCAAGGATCTAAACGAGCAATTTAAAAGACACTTGACAAACTCGGCTGAACCATTGGACATAGATTTCAGTATACAAGTGTTATCTTCTGGCTCATGGCCGTTTTTACAAACTTTTACTTTCTCATTACCAACTGAGGTAAATTCGATCCTAAAATAATTTATCTTAAACTTCGAAATTTTATGAATATTTAACGCAACATTTATACATTGCAGCTAGAACGATCTGTACATAGGTTTACCACTTTCTATAGTTCTCAGCATAGTGGAAGGAAGTTAAGTTGGTTATACAATATGTCTAAAGGAGAATTACACACAAATTGTTTTAAAAATAGGTAATACTATACCTAGGAAAGATATGTGACATTTTAACAATCTTACAACATTTACAAAAGGGCGTTTGTAAATGCAATTTTAATTATAGATACACCTTACAAGCATCTACCTTTCAAATGGCTATTTTATTACAATTTAACGGATCCACAGTATGGACAATACAACAATTGCATGATGCAACGCAAATAAAAATGGACTTTTTGTTCCAAGTATGTATTATCGTTAAGAAATATTAGAAAGAAACGAAACGCTAAAAATATTTTTATGTTGTAGGTCATACAAATACTCTTGAAATCTAAACTGTTAACATCGACTACAGACGATGAAACTGAATTGACTCCAATGTCAACAGTGGAACTTTTCACGGGATATAAAAAGTATGTGTATTTAGTTATATGAAATATTGATTTCGTCCAAGATTATATTGGTATATTATTTTTATAATAGCAAGAAACTAAGAGTAAATATTAATATACCAATGAAAACGGAATTGAAAATCGAACAAGAAACGACGCATAAACATATAGAGGAAGATAGAAAACTTCTGATACAAGCGGCGATTGTTAGGATTATGAAAATGAGAAAAGTCTCAAAGCATCAGCAACTGGTGGCTGAAGTATTGAATCAGTTAAGCTCTAGGTTCAAGCCAAGAGTACATATTATTAAGGTAAGTATGCGCAACGATTACAGAATGATAAAAATTTGTGAGCTAATGATTTGTATTTCTTATTCTATTAATTTATTGTAACATAATGTCGACGAACCGAATTAAAATATTTGAGAACTACTTATAAATAATCCAAATATTAGACTTAACGGAAAATGATTTTGCCCTTTCAGAAATGTATAGATATTTTAATTGAAAAAGAATATCTGGAGCGCACAGAGGGTCAAAAGGACACTTACAGCTACCTGGCATGATCAAGTTGATCTAGGACAACGATACAGCAGCAACCATATACGCAAAAGAAAGATGACTCTCCACTCTCATTGCTACATACTGTCACAATATTTATTTAAGTCTCATATTTTGAAACTCGTATATTTTCCTTGTACATGGATGCCCTTGTACCATGTTGTCCCTCTGGTCGCATTTAGAGTGGTTTTTATAATATGTTAATAAAATTATTTCATAGTCAAGCTGCTAGGTGTGTTACTGTCTGTGCCGCCTTTGACATAAGTTACTTGAAAGAAAATTTATCGACGCGAGTCTTTAGATGCAATAGTAAAAGCAACGTTCTCAAAGTTAAAACTCTAATAAAAATGGGGAAAAATAAGGGATTAATCGCAACAGGGATAAAATATAAAAATATATTCTGTGAATAGAATACGAATAATGAAAAAAGTTCAGGGTACATTGTAAGTCATGTAATTCAAAAAGAATGAAAAATGATTTAAAAAAGAGAAACGTAATTTCAGCTATTTGTATTATAGAATATAAAACACGTCATAAATTCGAATAAGCACATAGATAGTAATGCATTTTAGCAATTGTGAAGTCTCGTTAGTAATCACGTGTATAAGGAACAAAATTTTGTACCAGTGAATAAACCAAACTGCCCTAGCAATGTAAGAATTGAGTTGTTCTTTTGTTCAGAGCAGTCTCAATTTAAAATGAATTCATCGAATGGCTGGCAGACCGTAAAAAGCATACAATTTTTGAGTCGTTATGGAAAGATTATAAAAAAAAAATTGACTAAGAAATATTAATTGTATTAATTGTATACATTGTATCTAAAGCTTAGAGAGCTCGTTTCTGCTGTTAAGCGAAAATAACGTTTAAAATATGAGACTAACGAATTCTCCTTGTTGATGCTAGACGTGTCAAATACTTGAGGCAAATTATTCAAATGGTTTCTTCAGAGTTATATCTTTTAGTAATTAGAACGCATTAAATATTCACAGTGCAATATAAAGTAAAAAGAAAATTTGTGGTATGCTATAATTTTGAGTGCAGGCACATACAGTGGCTTAAATTTAACTTCACTAACTGAACGATCGTTGTTAATATATTATTGCCACTAATGTTAAAAATGATATAGTAAACCACAGTATATAAAAATATATAAATTTAATGCTTACAAATATTACCATGATTTCGGAGTTGAGTGATGGAACTCAACATGTAAAAAGTCTGAGAAGTGCGAGTTTCGAACTGAAAGTCACTGTAATTAAAACCGAAAATTACATTACAACATATTTGAGGGTGAGTAATATCTTTATATTTAATTATAAAAAAGAAAATATTAACTTAATGTATTTTATTAAATAAAAAGTAGCACGAATTCGAACGATGAAGTATTAAATTGTTCAAAGTAGGTTGTGCAGGATGCATTGAGCCGAAGGATGCGAGCATACATCGTCTTTATTCACTTTTTTATGATGTTTGACATCGTTTAATTAATTCCATGTGAAAATTTCTAGATTCGATTACTCTTGTAGGTTTAGAAAACATACGACGATACATTATTTAAGCTAGAGCATACAAAATTCTCCACTGCCAGAATTAAGATTTGTAAAATCTATGCGTAACGTAATTGAAAATAACATCGATGTTTTCTGGAATGTCTGAACACTTTAATTTACAATATTAGTCCCACTTACGTGTACCGTATACGGATAAAATCGTAACGATCATTTTACATATGCTAGCTATGGAACATACTAATATTTCGAATTTCTGTACATATGGCTAAAATTCATTGTTGTCAATTTTTATTCCTCATGCACAAAATAGGACTTATGTGTAAATAAGTTGAAAGGGTCATTTAATATTGTCTAAAGTAGAAAGTTTGAATTTACTACAGTTGCAATGGAAATCGATCGTGCATCTCCATGCAATTTTGATCAATTTATTCTTAAATGATACGAAATGAAAATTAAAATAGAATTTAATCGGAATGCATGATTTCCATGGTAACCATAAACCCACCTTTTATATTTTGCTTTGGAATCTTTTGTTATAGGTCCCATTAACTTATCAAGTATGATCACTATTTTGTATAGCGCAATCGAATAATTGCTACGATTATGCAGTAATTGAAAAAATATATTTATTTCGAGTGAGAAAATAAATTAAAAACGAAAGTAAAAATTCTAGTATAAAACCTTAAGTTAATGATCAGACTTTTAAAATTCATAAAACTCTGATAAGTAATTTACAAAGTAAGAATACATAAATCTTTTTTTCTGTGACGAGTATTGTTAAGAAACACGTTGTAAAATAAAATTGTATCATACTTGTGGCTATGAAATGGAATTATTCCATCTTTCACAGTGTATAAATTGTAGCAGTCATTCAATAAATGTTTTATATACAATTTATCATAAGCACTCGGGTTTTTGATCCAGTAATCTCAAAAAATCTTCTTTTGTGAATCTTAATTGTCCAATAGTAATTAAGCATGCCTGTGGAATATGGTAATGATATAAAATAAATTTTTCTTTTCTTACTTACTACATAACTGCAGTGTATACATACATTTTGTTTCTTTAAATTATCTATAACTAACATTTGTTTTTTAAATACTTGTACTATTTCTGAAAGTTGTTTTCCCAAATTATTAACAGTCAGTTTTTTATCATCCTGTAGTTTCCTCAGTTGATTTCTTAATTCCTATGAAAACATCAAAGTAAATAATCATCTAAAATAATATAGCTAATGATTTTATATATTATGTCCAACCTTTTCTTCTATTTGAGAGCATTTAAGTGCATTTCTTAGTTTATCATTATTTTCTAATGATCTGTTCAATCTTACACTATAATTGTTACCTTGCTGATTCAGTACTTTGATTTGTTTTTGGAGTTTATCCAAATCCTATTCAAATTGAATATTAGAAATATATGAAATGTTAAGTCCAATTATTTTTAATTTGATACCTTTTTTATAACTAAATTTTCAGCATTCAGTGCTTGAGATTGACAATGTAGCTCTTTGTTTATGTTTTCTAACTTTGTAATTGTATCTTTCAATGATTCTATGTCATTTTGCATTCTTGTTTCATACTTTTTGTGTTCAATTTCCAGATCCTTGCAAATATCACACTGCAATGTACATGATATAAATAATTAATAAAAAATATATTCTTAAATATTAATAAAACTTTTAGTCACCTTCTTTCTATATTCGGTATGCAATGTTTGCAGTTCCTTCTGCAATACATCTATTTTCGATTTAAATAAATTAACAATGGTTAAATGTGCTAAATTTTCTTTCTTACACGCTTCGTTCGCGTGATCCTTTTGTGGTTCCACCTTCCTATTGAACATTAATTTCTAAATTCAAAATACTTATACAACAGAAATTGAAAAAAAAAACATGTTTAACATAGACATAAAACAGTATTTTCGAATAAATAATTATATCGATTTTTCCCTTACAATTTTGAGGATACTTCGTCAAAGATATAAGGTAAGGACGTATTACGTTTAATTGAAACTTGAATATTATCATTTTCTCGTTGTATTGAGTTCCCTGGTAGTTCTGTTTCTTTATTCGTTACATTTCTATATTGTATTTTTGAATTCGAAACCGAACACTCGTTATTATAAGTGTTTATAACGTGATCTATGTTCTTCATTAAATCATTTGCTCTTTGTTCGAGTTCTTTATTCAGTAGGCGGAATCCCTTTTCTTTAACCAGTAGATCTTCGGTCATCTTTCGATACAAAAAATAATTCCACTATTAATTATCAGTATATAAATATAAAATACAGGTTATAATTATGTTTTCTTGTATGTAATAATTTTCTATTCGACAATTTATGTTGTCAGAATTCCATTCGAGTGAAACACCTGTTTATGTTTGTTTATGAGACCGGCTGCTCTACATTTGTACGCAAAAGGCGGTAGTTTTTCGTTTTCAAACATACGATAAACACGTTGAAAAATCGGTGCAAAAAAGAAGATAAAATATAAATATTATGTTGCGATGTTGAAAAGTCTTTTGGAATCACGATGACAGCACGTTCAATTTTGCAAGGTACAGTTTGAAATATTATAAAAGACATTTAGTAAAAGAAATATTTTACATTCTATCGTGATGACAGTTTCTGTGGAATTTTGTAATAAAACATCGTTTTCTTTTTACCTTTGCATGTAAATAAGTAACGTAAAAGTTCTGTACGAATTACAAATACATTTTAAATATTAAAATATGTTTGATCATAAAATGGATATTACTAACCATTATTTTGCAGTTTTTGACCAATATCAAAAAGCTCGTATACTTTTCGTGCAATCCGTTGCCGATCTCGCCACAAGACCAAATAATATAGAATGTTTAGAAGCTGCTGGTGCTTTAGATCTTTTACATCCTTTGCTGACAGATCCTGTGCCTTCTATACAACACATGGCAGCTATAGCTTTAGGAAAAATAGCAAACAATGATTGTCGATTGGCACAAGCTATTATAAAAAAAGATATTTTGCCTCAATTATTAAAAAATATCTCTAAACAAAATGTATAAGTTTTTATGTGTAATAATGTATGTACATGTGTACATAACTATATATTTTTTTTTATAAATTTTGTTGTAACACTTGTTACAGAAATTTTATAAGAAAGCAGCTTTGTTTGTTATTCGTGCGATAGCCAAGCATTCTTCTGAATTGGCATCCATAATAATTCAGAGCAATGGATTAGAAATTATAATGGTTTGCTTAGAAGACTTTGATGCTGTTGTAAAAGAAGCTGCAGCTTGGGCATTAGGATATATTGCTAGACACAATAAAAACTTGGCTCAAGCAGTAGTCGATACAGGTATATCTATTGTCATAATAATCTCAGTCAAAATATATTTACATATTAATTTTATAACCCACAGGTGCAGTTCCCCTTTTAGTTTTATGTTTACAAGAACCTGAATTATATTTGAAACAGATAAGTGCATCTGCCCTTTGTGATATAAGCAAACATGAAAAAGATCTAGCAGAAGTTATTGTTGATGCTGGAGCTGTTCCTTTCCTTGCAAAAGCATTATCTAATCCTGATGCCAAATTAAAGGTGAAATAAAAATAGATACCATATAATTTTGTAATATAATGTTCTGATTCTCATTAACATACAGCGTCAAGTTCTTTGCACACTGAGTAGTATAGCAAAGCATACTACACACTTGGCAGAATCTATCATCGAAGCTGAGGTTTTTCCTAGTGTTCTTATTCATATGGCACACCCCGAGGAATGCATTGTTAAAGCTGCAGCAACATTAACTAGAGAAATTTGCAAACATACGATAGAAGTAACTTAATCAAACAATCTTCTAATCATGTATTAATTATGTTTATTTTCAGATGGCTCAGCTCATTGTAAATATTGGTGGTGTTGGTGCACTCACAGAATTGATTAACACATCGAAATTAACAGCTAGATTACCAGCAATAATGGCAATTGGTTACATTGCTGGACATTCTGATCAATTAGCTATTGCAATTATTGGATCTAAAGTATAGTGCACTGATATTTTAGTTATTATAATACTCTAAGTAAAAATATTTACTTTAGGGAGTTACTCAATTATCTACTGTGTTACACGAAGAAAAGGATGAACATGTACTTGCAATCACCATATGGGCAACTGGACAAATCGGTAAACATACTCCAGAGCATGCAAAAGCAATTGTAGTTGCAAATATTCTTCCAAAGTTATTACAAGTATAATTCAATGTTTTTATTTATTATTCTTTATTATCCTTCGTTGTGAAATATTATTGACTTCTATACTACTTTTAGCTTTACAATGATCCAAACAGCTCAGAAGATTTGAAACTAAAATGTAATGTGACATTAAAGCAAGTATTACAACGATGCATGTGCCTTGAAGCATTGGAACCTTTAATACACGATGCACCACCTAACATTTTGAAGTATGTTCTTGGACAGTACAGTAAGGTAAGAAAGAGTATAGTATATTAACTGGTATATAATTCTTTACTTTATACATATTTTTTACAAGTTGTACTTAGAACTTACAAACTAGAACATAATAATAAAATAAATAAAATCATATATGTGCTATAACTTGTAATTAAATTATTTATATTTTATTATTTATTGCATACAGCCATGTAACAAATAATACGAATATTACTGTTTAGTGACCATTCTGCGTCTCAGTTAAGTAACAATTGTGTATCAAATAATATTTTTCTGTTATATAATGTTGCTTTATTGAAAAACTGGTCAAACTATGTAATGCAAATGGTTCTTTTTTATTATATAATAACTATTATACCACAAATAGCATCCTAATAGTTAGAATTTTCA